AAAAGGGACACTTTGAGGCCGACTTAAGGAATGTCATTGATTGGATCGAGTGGAAGGAGGTAACACTCTGGCTGCCATATGGGAGGCTTGGGAACCTGGAAGACATCATCTGGTAAGATGAGTAACGTAGAGCAGTGCTTCGTGAGGTAGGCCATAGAGACCAGAGATGCCTGACCATCACCCACGAAGGAAAGCACGGAGAGCAGCGGCTGATGTGGTCACATTCACACATGGGAATAGGGCGCAGCCCCACAGAGGAATGAAGTGCTGCCCCACACCATGGCATGGGCAAACGTTGAACACACTATGCTCGGTGAAAGAAGCCAGACACCAAAGGTCACGTACTCCATAATTCCATTTATATAAAACGCCTAGCCTAGGCAAGTCCACAGATACAGTGAGCACTTTAGTGGTCGCCAGGTGCTGGGGAGGGGGAAGCATGCAGAGTGCTGCTTAGTGGGGCTGGGGTCTCTGTTGGGGGTGCCTGACACCGCCTGAACCTAGATGGAAGTGATGGCTGCACAGCATCGTGCATGTACGCACCCCCGCCGAACTGTACACCTTTAGATGTTCGATTGGGTGCATCTCACCTCACTAGACAGAAAGGAGGGCTTGCAGACACAGGAACTCAACGCCTTGCCAGATCCCAGTTCTAACAAACCAACGGTAAAATGAAATGATGTGTAGGATTTGCTCCAAACAACCCGAGGGAGAAAAGGGAGTGGAAGGTATGGGAAAATGGTGCTGACCTCATATTAATAATAATTGAAGCTGCTGGAGGTATGTGAGGTTCATTACACCATAATTCCTCCATAACAAAGATTTGGAACAAAAAAAAAAGTCTTATTCCCCAGTATTCAATGCATCCTCAGCACATAGTGGGTACTGCATAGTGGATGGATGGATGGATGGATGGATGGATGGATGGATGGATGGATGGACAGGTGAGTGGATGGACGGATGGATGGATGGATGGATGGATGGATGGATGGATGGATGGACAGGTGAGTGGATGGACGGATGGATGGATGGATGGATGGATGGACAGGTGAGTGGATGGATGGATGGATGGATGGATGGATGGATGGACAGGTGAGTGGATAGATGGATGGATGGATGGATGGATGGATGGATGGATGGATGGACAGGTGAGTGGATGGATGGATGGATGGATGGATGGATGGACAGATAGATGGATGAATGCAATGAGTCTCATGCCACACCCCTGCTGTATCCTCCCCTGAGTGAACAAGAGAAACCCCTGAAGACCCTGTGAAGTCAACAACAAGGAACCTCATGGGTATTTATGTCCAGGCAGTGGATGAACACAGTAAAAGTAAAGTAATAATTAATCTGGGAGAAAATCAAGTCAGGCTCACACCCACTAACCCGTATAAACCGTGTCTCTGCACTCAGCACGCAGGCCACCTTAATACCATCCCTGCCACCAGGCCACCTCAAGAAGGACAAGGCATTTCAGTTGCAAAAGTCTTGCAAATATGCTTTCTGCTGAGTACACATGAACTTTTCTGTTGGTGCTCCGTTACAACGGAGAGTTCTTTTGGCTCTCCTGAAGAACTGGTTATTACAATATAGGCAAAGTGCAAAAGGAGTCACAGCATTTGAGGCCGACTTAGGGAATGTCATTGGTTGGATCAATGACAATTGATTGGATCAATTGAAGTTGATTAAGCCAAGCTTCGTGCAAGCAAGAACTATGACTCTGGCATCTGCGCTCCCGTGCTGGGCACAGGAGCGCCTGGCGGAAGCAGGCGTCCTCAGGTGGAAGAATGAGGCCAGGAAAGGGTGTTGCTCCAGCTAGGTCAGCCCTTTACGGATTTTAAAGGCTGTCCCTATGCATCGCTAGATTGGATCTTCATGACCTCATCTTGAGCGGTGAGGAGGGTGAGGGAGGAATGACACTCGGGAGGGCGTGCAGCGCTGGAATCAAGACTCCCCCCACCCACCGCAGGACACCAGCCCCAACCGCAAAGCATCACACCTGCTCTATTGCTCCTTCTTCCCTGTGCGTGGGTTTCCACATAACCTTGAATTTAGGAGTGGTTTGTTTTCCTCATTATTGGGTGTGCTGAGAGTGGACATTGGGCCAAGGGAGTGTCAGTACAGCCTGTGTTAACCCCAGAGGCCCAAGCTGTCACCGTCCTCCCACAGGGACAGACTTCTGTGTCCCGGGCCATGCAGACCTGCCGGATCTCCTCCAGCTCCTTGGAGAGCACTCGACTGTAGCTGAGTGCGGGGCTGTGGGTGCGGCTGGAGCCCTGCCGCCTCCCCCCACCCCTGCTTGGTGAGCCTGCCACAGGCTCATTGTGACACATGCACACAGGCAGCCCACACTCCGAGAGCTACGCATGTAGGCAGCTGTCTGGAGTGGCGTTGGCTTGCCCTGCCTCCACAACCTCCGACACGCTCTTTCCTCCCCTTTCAACCTCTGCTGAAACTCCTTGCCTCACTCTCTCCTGACCCATGTTCCAGTCTTAGCTCAGAAACCACCTCTTCCAGGAAGCCCTCCAGGAACTCCCCGTCTTCTGTGCCTCCCGTAGGCTCCCCATTCACCCTGCATAGGCATAGGCCGCCTCTGACGGAGCTGTGATCAGCCTCTCCGCGTGCCCATCTTAGGCAATCACTAGCAAGCCTCTTCCAGGTAATCCCTCACGTCCCAGCTGCCAAATATTTATTGAATGAGGGCGTGAATGAACATGTTTCTCTCTGAGTCTCATTTTTTTTTTCCTGTCTGTCCAATGCTCAGATTGGATCGTGGTGTCCTGGCAGCTCAATAGCTCTTTGGTTTGGAGGACTTGGTCACTCCACGCACACCACTTCGGGTGAATTCTGTGTGTCTGTCTCAGGGGACCTGAGCCCCGGAGGGAGCAGCTGCGTCTCACCCATCATGCATCCCTAGCACGTGGCTCAAATCCTGCACAGAACCCCCACAAAAACCTGCACATGGGTGTGAATAGCAGTTTCATTCATAATTGCCAGAACCTGGAAGCAACCAAGACATCCTTCAAGAAATGAAGGGAGAGATAACCCAGGGTTTATCCAGACAATGGAATATTACTTGGCCCGTGTTTGTGCGGTGAGTGAATGAATGAACACATGAATGGATGTTCAATATAATAATGGAATCAAGTTTTACAAACTTTTCAGCAAAACCAGGATAGTCACCAAAGCAGATGAGCAGGCAAATGGACAAATGAGGACTCCTCTGTTCTCTGCTGGTAAATGATAAGGAACAACCCTTTACAGATGAAGTTTTCTCAGGGGCTGTTTCTGTGGCTTCTCCCTTTTCCAGAGAGAACTCAAGGACTGCCTGCGGACATGGAAAATCAGAGGCAGGACAGGGCGGTGTGATGAGGATCAGTTCCATCATAATTAACCCAAACCCAGGGGTCCCCCGTGAGATTGCCACAGGGGGAGCAAGGGATGGTCTGGTTTTGGGGTGGAGTCCCAAAGGATGGTGCTTGGTTTTGTGGGGCTAAGTGCTGAAACCCTAGAAGGAAATTTTTTTTAAAAAGAGAGACAGAAAAATAAATAAATAAATAATAAAGAGAGAGAACACGCGAGCAGTGAGGGTGGGGCAGAGAGAGCGAGGGAGAGAATCCCAAGCAGTCTCCACGTTCAACAAGGAGGCTGATGCGGGGCTTGATCCCCCGACCCTGAGATCATGACCTGAGCTGAAATCAAGAGTTGGACGCTTAACCAACTGAGCCACCCGGGCACCCCTAGAATGGAATCTCCAAGGGTAGCCCATAAACCATTTGTGCTTTCAACAAATATCAATTGACAGTCCACTCTGTGCTGAGTACTAGGAATTGAGCAGAGAATACACAGAATGATGCCCTCATAGAGCTTACCTTTCGGTGGGAAAGCTAGATAAATATTTCATATCATTCCAGATAAGCATAAGAAAAATAAAGCAGGACTTCGGGTGGTGAGGGCAGAGGTAGGGCCTCTCTAAGAAGGTGACCTTTGAGCAGAGAACTGAGTGACGTGAAGCAGTGTACAGAGTAAGTGCGGCAGAAAGGCGGTTCACTGTTCTAGGTAGCAAGTGCAAAGGTCCTGAGGCAGGATTGAGCTCTTAAGTTCTAGAGTAACAAGAAGGCCAGAGTGGTGAGAGCAGAAGGAGGGAGGAGAAGGATGGTCAGAGGGGAAGTCAGAATATTGCCAAGGCCCAAATCACGTAGGGCTTCCTAAGAGGTGGCGAGAAGTGTAGAATTTCTCCTCAGGGTGATGGCGACCATTGGCAATCTTGAACTAGAAGTGAATAAATCTGATTTGCCTTTCTTTTGAAGATTTATTTTGTTTATTTGAGAGACAGAGAGAGAGAGAGAGAGAGTAGGGGGAGGGGCAGAAGCAGAAGGTCTCAAGCAGACTTCCTGCTGATGGCGGAGGCCGATGCGGAGCTTGATCTCGTGACCTGAGATCATGACCTGAGCCGAAACCGAGAGTCAGACGCTTAACCGACTGAGCCACCCAGGAGTCCCAAATCTGATTTACCTTTTAAAAGTATCACAGCGACTTGACGGGATGAGCACTGGGTGTTATTCTGTATGTTGGCAAATTGAACACCAATAAAAAATAAATTTATTATTTAAAAAAAAATTTTAAATATAAAAAATAAAAGTATCACAGTGGATCCCTCAGTGGAGCAAAGAGTTAGCTCACACCATTACTGAAATAGATTCTAGTCTTCACTGAGGTCTCTGTCAGAATCCTGCGAAGGGAGGCAGGTCTGCTGGGGTAATAGCATCTGCTGCTAGCGGGGGCCCACCCCATGCCGGGTCCTGGGCTAGGGCAGTATGGCGCAAGATCACTCGAATTCCTATAACCCTGCGATGAGGGGATTCTTAGCACCACCCCAGAGAGGGCAAGCAGAGGCCCCAAGAGGTAAAGTGACTTGGCTAAGGTCTCTGGGCTCGCACATAGCAGTAGAGCCTGAGCCAAGGCCGGGCTGCCAGGGTGTCTCCCTGCACCACGAGATGCCTCCTCGCCTGTTCTCCTCGGGAGCACCCTGCCAGTCCAAGACCAGGGATGAGCAATGGGGCTCAGGCGGGGTGAGTCACCCAAGGTCACATTCCAGGATATGATGGAGCCGGGATTTAAAAGGGGTCGCCTGGAGGAGGTGCTGTGAGCTGTTGGGTGAGACCCAATCTCTGTGTGTGAGCAGGAAGCAGGCGGGGTGGGAAGGAAGGACAAAGTGGACTGCCTCAAAGGTGGGGGGGAGGATCCTCTCCCAAAGCCCGGGAGGCGGCTAGAGAAGACTCAGCTGACTCGAGACCTGTGGCACCTCTGGAACCCAGGGACGGGTGTGGAGGAGGCACGATCGTTGCCCCCGGGGGCAAACAGAGCCCTCACCTGCACTTGGTGCCAAGGGCTCTCTCAGCAGGTGTGCAGGGATGTGCGCTTCTGTTCACACAAGACAGCTGCTTGGGTGTTCCTTTCATCTCCTCCTGAATCCACCCACACCCAGGCTCTGGGTTCAAATCCTGATCCCACCGCCTACCAGCTGCTTGACTTCCTGCAAGTTACTTAACCTTTCCAGGTCTCGTCTGCCAACTGCGAGTGCGAAACCAGTGCCTCCCCGCACAGGGGCGGGGGAAGGATGACAAGAGGACTTGCCGGTGATGCCCGGGAAGCATCTGCTCAATGCCTGGCCCAGAGCAGACATTCTGTGCATATCACTGGCTCCCGTTACGTCGCCATTGACGCTGTCCTTCCGGCCCCTGCTTCCAGACCAAGGACCCTCAGAGGCCGGAGGCCCCTCGGTGGTGGCCGCTGGTCACCGTGCCCACGGCTGGGGCTCATTGTCCTGTCCTGATCTTGTCGACCCGAGGCCCAAACCAGCCTTCCCAGGCCTGCCCTGCCTTGCCACAAAATTTCTGTGAGCAGCATGGACTTTGCTTTCAAGCTCTATAGACCGTTGGCTTTGGATGCCCCCGGAGAGAACATCCTCTTCTCCCCAGCGAGTGTCTCCTCGGCTTTGGCCATGCTCGTCCTCGGGGTCCCAGCAGCCAGTAGGGCCCAGCTCCTGGAGGGTGAGATCCAGGAGGGCTTCCAGGATCTGCTGCTCAAGCCATCTGTGCTGGACCCACAGCTCCTCCTGGCCTCGGCTCAGGGCCAGCCGAGACCCGGCGGAGACCCAGAAATGCATCCACGAGTACGTAGAGGAGCAGACCCAGGGGAAGTGTGGAGCCCGGGCAGAGGAGCTCGGGACGGAAACCGCAGCAGTGCTCGTGAATCACATGCTCCTCAGAGGTAGGAGTATATACATCCAATGTGGAATCTCCTTTGCAGAATGGGGGCTCCAGCACACCTGAGCCATCCTCCTCACAGCTCCTGGGAAGCCTCCCCTGCTGACTTAGATCTAGGGGGCACTCCATAGGTGTCTGCCCACTGAATCCTTGATGCCTCTACTCGAATACCCCCTGTAATGGGGAACTCATCATCTGTCCCACTTTAATAGTACTTGTTGTGTTTTTTTCAAAGAAGGATCTTCACATTTTCAGTGTGCATAAGAACGTGCTGGGGTGTTTGTTTAAAATGCAAGTGTCTGACTCTGACTTAAGTCAGGGACCTATGACCCTGCATTTGAAGCAACTCGCCTCTCTTCCCCCCACGGGTGATTCTGCTTCAGGAGGGCTGCGATCTCCACTACAAGCAACCACTGGATTAAGAAACATGATTCCCTTCCTCTGGCAGGTCCCGGGAGGCATGGATTAGAGCCAGAGGAATCCCAAGGCAGGGAGATCCTTTATTTTCTCCAAAAAGAGCCAACAGGAGTGTATGCCTCATTCCTCCATCACACTTCTTCATTCAGCAGGTGAATTCAGAGCTGGTTATTTGTACAGCGTTTTGCAGGTCTTGAGGGCTCTTCCCACCCACAATCTCATTCGATCTTCTCACCTGGAGGAGGCAGACAAGGCTAAGATGAACATTCCTGTCTTACAGATAAGACAGATTTTTAAAAAAAAGAGGAAAAGTTCTTTTCCTGATCCAATAAGGCATCGCCCAAATACACATCTGTGCATGTTTATCATCTGTTATAAGTGTGTTTGCACACGCACCCACACACCCAGTATCAGGTCCCTAAGTACATGTCAGGCACGCTGCCTATTTCATTTGTGTTGAATTCTCCTCGCAACCCGGCCAGATCAATGCTATGTCCACTTGAGACATGAGAACACTGAGGAAGCTGGGAAGTTAGGTCATCTACGTCTCAATGCCAGGCAGGCCTAGTCTTCGGAGCCACACCTACATTCTCAGCAGCTTGTACCACGGTGATGGCCTCTTCTTAAAAATTAACCCCCTCCCCACCCACCGCCAAGAAAGGTCCAGGAGACCAGAGAGAGCAACCGTGTACCAGCGGTAGGATCACACTACCATAACACTGTTGTGCTGTCGTAATAATATTTATCTCCATTTTACAGGCAAGGGGACAGACGCTCAGAGCCACCAAGGGCTCAGCACCCCCAGGGTCACACAGGCAGAGAAGACAGCCCTGAAGCTGGGCTTGGTGTCCAGAGTGTGGACTCCCATCCCCAAGGGCTGCCAGAAGGTGACCCCCAAGCCCATTCTCGGTTCTTTCCTCGAGAGTGACATTGGGGTTCGTCTACCCCTCAGCCGGGTACGTGCAACCCTGTGACCCACATGCCACTAGCCCAAAGGATTTCTTTGGGGATGAGCACAGAGCCGTGCAGGGCCCACGATGAAGCAGAAGACCCACCACCACTTCCTCCGTGATCCTGAGCTGCAATGCTCCTTGCTGAGATGGACCAACCGGGGCAAGGTGGGTCAGCCCTGCTGCTTCAAACACTGATGAGTGAGACGGTTTGCCCAGGGCAAGGTAGACTGGCCCAGCAGCAGAGTCCCGGGAAGTCGGCCCCTTGCCTTCTCCGCCAGGCACCCCGCAGTGGCCCTCAGGCCCCCTCAGCGCATCATCACTCCCCCAGCGCAGTCATCCCCTAGGACACTGCTATTCCCAAGACACTGTCCACCACACCCAAGGCATTGTCACCCCTCCCCCCGCCCAAGGCTTTGTCACCCTTCCACAGCCTCCCTGAAAGTATCTGGATGGGGCCAAAAGGGAGCACTGGACCAGGAGTCTGGAGGCCGGTTTCTGGTCCTAGCTCTGCTGCAGACCAGGGTGGCACATTGATTGGCCAAAGCTCCAGACCCTAAAACTAGGGGAGGCCGAGGGAGCCCAGGACAGAGGATAGTGTGCATTTTAGAAAGCCCTCTGGAGGCTGCCCCTCGGAGAGGCAGGTTTGAAGCCTGAGTTCCTGGGGCGGGTTAGAGGCGGTGGAGGCGTCTGTGAAAGCCGCGGGCCTTTCTGGGATCTCAACGGCAAACCAATTTTGGTCTCCCCAGAGAACTCGATTTCCATTTCCCCAAAGGTTCCTTCCCAGCACCTACGGAAAGGAGGTGCCCCTCCCAGGCGTGCCCATGGGCAGAGGCCTGTGTGCGGGGGCAGCCTGCACTGAGCACGTCTAAGGTAGGCTGCAAATCAGGTTTCAGGGGATCCCCTCAATGTCTCTGGGCAACTTCTGGAAGATGGCCACTGCCTCCTTAAAGCTGGCAGCTGCTGCTTCTAACACTGCAAGCTGCTGTTTGCCTGTGCATTCAATCCTCGTTAGGCACACGAACACTCTGAGACCCTGGGGGTCCCCTGGGGATCCAGGCAGCATTTCTGTCCCCAGGGCACGGACGAGGAAAGGGGAGCCAAGAGATTTGCACACAGTCAGGGCTGGAGGTGCAGAGGAAGCCTCCTGGGGAGGACGCTCCTGGTCTGAAGGAACTGAAGGGGAACATGGGCACAGCCCAGAGAGCAGAGGCTGGAGCCTCTGAGAAAGGGAAGTCCCCTGCTATGGGTGGAGCTGGGGCCCTAGGAGAACCTGTAAAGCCACCCTGAGGACCTGGGACTCTATCTGGAGGCCAAATGAGAACGCACAGGGATTGTAAGCATGGAGAGCAGCATGATGATTTTTGCGTTCTCGAAAGATCTAGAAAGATCTGTGGAGGGTGGAGTGGAGGGACATGGATCAGAGAGAACAGAGGAAAGGCTCAGAGCCGCGCACTCAGGGAGAGAATCGCAGAAGGAGGAAGCAGAGGGCTGAGGGCAAATCAGGGTGGGTGGGGGGAGCTCATTGCCTGAAGCGCCATCAGCTTCCTCTCCCATGGCGGTCTCATCGGACATTCACTGGGCACCATGCCATGCCAGGTGTCATGCCAACACCTGGCAGCAAACTGACGAGGTAGGTGCTGTGCCCCTATTTTATAGATGAGGAATCTGAAGCTAGTCACCCGGTCACCACTGCTAGTTAGCATCACCCTGCTAGTTAGCATCAAGCCAGGGTTTGAGGCCAAAGGCCTGCATTCTTTCTCAAACAGCACTGGGTCCCTGTGGCTTCCATATCACACACGTTCCAGAAAGGGGCAGTGGAGGGTGAGGGAAAGAATGTGGGGTTTGAGGTCAAACAGACTCTAGTCTGAGCCCTTACTTTGTCCCATCCTAGCTGTGTGACCTTAGGCAAGCCACAACACCTCTCTGAACCTCTGAACCTCCACGGCCTCATCAGATCACTGGGGACCCTGAGCAGTATTTGGGAGGGGAAGCAACTTTCTAAGATCACATCCTGGGGTGAGGAGCCAGGTGCAGTCAGGTGGGGTGGGGTGTAGAGCCAGAGTCCTCCAACTTCAGGTCAAGTGATCTCTCACAGGCAGTGACTATGGAGGGATACGAGCCAGAGCGAGGGATTACTATGTCCCGGGTGTAGACTGAGTTTGGGGATGGAGCAGTAAACGGAGCAAAATCAGAGTCTAGTGTGTGGCTGGAGGGCACACAGCACGTAGACCACCTGCATCTGTAGCATGTGAGTGACAATAAGTCTCACAGTCTAAGGGGTGGACAAAAGGATAGGTGACCTGGCAGGTGGAGGGATGGTTATGGGTGGGGCTAAGTAAGAGAAGAGAGAAAAAATGGTATAAAAATAAGGGCCCAGGGATCCCGAGGTAGCTCAGCAGTTTAGTGCCTGCCTTCGGCCCAGGGTGTGATCCTGGGGTCCCGGGATCGAGTCCCACGTGGGGCTCCCTCCATGGAGCCTTCTTCTCTCTCTGCCGGTGTCTCTACCTCTCTCTCTGTGTCTCTCATGAAGAAATAAATAAAATCTTAAAAACAAAAGGGGGGGGCCTGATCAATCCCTCCCATGGGGTCAGTCGATGATTCCAGAATTTTCCTTGCAGGTCATTCACAAGGCTGAGGTGACTCTGAATGGACAGGGCTCAAAGGCCATTGCCGCCATCAGCCTCCCGGTCACTCCCAGGCCTCACCCCAACCTGGACCCCGCACCCCCTCCTGGCACTAAGTTTAATCGACCCTTCCTGATGAGGACTTTTCACCTGGACACAGGAAGCATGCTTTTTCTGGAGAAGATGGTAAAGCCACTGGGATCATGCTCCCCAGAGGCACTGGACGGTCCCGGGAGAACAGAGCTGGGGACCACCCTAGAGTCCCTGCTCTGGAGACTGAGTCACGGTCAAAGTCTCTGCGTGGCCTCGGAGACATCACCAGGCTACTGGGGCTTCTCTGCCTCTTTGTCTGAAGGGAAATGGGAGGCATTCTTGAAGCTGGCTGAGGGCAGGGATCCTCGTACAAGCTTCACGCAGCCACGAAAGTCACCCCCTGCTCAAGTGCCAGGAGCTTCTGTTGAGGTATCAGGTTCAATGAGACATTGTGCACACCCTATTCTTCTGCGTGGTTTCATGGGAACCTGAGAACCTGGGGTGAGGGTAGGAAGGGGGCATCAAGCTGTGGCATGGAGCAAACACCTATGTACCAGTCGTTCTCTATATTTTATCTCATTTTAAAACTAATTCCCACAACCTAACAGGATAAGTGCTGGTTGAACCATATCACATTGATTATATTTGACCTTTTTTAAAAAAAAAAAAAACCTACTAAGAAGGGCAACTTCGCATGGTTCCACTTAATATTATTTCTCTCTTTTCATAGCTGGGGCTCAGAGTTTACACAATGCACCGTGCTTGGGCAGCTCAAAAGTAGCAGAGCTGGGATCTGGAGTGTTCTACTTCAAAGCCTACACTCTTCCCATTCTCTTCCGTTTGGCGAGATTGGTGATTCTCAGGCTTGTTCCTGGGCGCAAATCCTGAGCATCTTGTTAAAAAGTAGACTTTGAGTCAGCAGGTCTGGGATCTGGGCTTCCTAACAAGGTCCTGGCGTTGTGAGGCTGCTGCTGGTCAGGTGAGCACACTGTGGTAGCAGGTGCCTGATGCTCTCATCCCCCTGATGCAATGAGGGACTGGTATGGTCCTCAGGACAGAGGAGTGTCACAGGCCCCTCAGTGCATGTGTGGGCCTGAGTACAATTTTAGAAATACTTTTTTGAAGTCCACAGATAGAGCTTGCTCTAGGGTCACCAATTAATGCGCATATTGGGTGAAAATAAGTGTCCTGAATAAAGTCGTGTTGCCCGTTCTAATCATACCATAGGGTCTGTAACCATCTGTGGGTTATGGGCCATGCCAGTCCCTGTAGATGGGATGTTGACATCTTCTCAGAAGGGAGCCACACAGACACACAAATCCTGTCCCTGGCTCTCACTATGCTTATGCCCACCAGAAGCAGTAAGAGGGCAGCTGGCAGGTGCAAAGAGCTCCACTGAATTCAGGGCAGGGGCTGTGCTGTGTGATCCCATGTAAGCCTCATTTTGTATTTTGCATTTACAGCCAGGGATAAAATTGATTTTTCCTCTCTTCTCCAGTGAGCACCAAGGAGTCCATAAAATCAGCCTTCCCAGAGTGGGGAGCCCAGAACCCCTAAAAAGGAGAGGTGAACAGCCCCAAAGTACTGGAAAATAGGTATCTCGCTTATGTTTTGTTTCTTGAGGATTGGCGATGGGTGTTCCGAACTCAAATACTTGGGGGCCAGGTTGGGCAGTAGGCAGAGATTATGAGTTCAGGAGGCAGAAATCAGCTGAACTTGGTGTTGGGAAAGCACAGGGAGTGGCGAGATCTGTGGTACACTGAAAAGCAGGGTCTCGGCTAAGCATGGCACACAAGGTGGCCTGTCTGTGACAGTGGCTTCTTAGAGGGCATAGAATTTACATTTTGACCAGGGCACTTGGGTGGCTCAGTCGCTTAAGTGTCCGACTCTTGGTCTCAGCTCATGTCATGATCTCAGGGTCATGAGATGGAGCCCCAAGTCGGGTTCCGTGCTCAGTGGGGAATCTGCTTGAAGATTCTCCCCTTCTTCCCCTTCCCAACTCTCTCTCTCTCTCTCTTTCAAATAAATAAATCTTTTTTAAAAAAAAATTTTACACTTTGACCTAAGAATGTAGGCAGACCTAGTAGTTCTGTTTCACCCAGGCCTCTTCTAAGTGGTGGGCCTGCCTTCCCTAGGGGGTTGTCCTCACCTGGCTGCTGGAAAACCACCCACCAATGCCTCCACCTTCCAGCCGACAGGAAGGAGGTGAGGAAAAATGGAAGGCACCCTCTTCCTTTAAGTGTACAACCCGTGAGTACCACCCCTCTCTTCAGCTCATCTCCTATTGGCCAGACCCCAGACACATGGTACCCCTAGCTGCAAGAGAGGCAGAGAACATTGCTTCCATCTTGGGTGACAATGTGCCCGGCCAGAAATTGAGGATTCTCAGAAGAAGGGATGATAGACTACTGGGCGCCCCCCACAGCCTCTGCCTAAGTTCCTACCAGCCTCGGTTGCATATTGCCTTGCAGAAAGGTGTCCCAGGGCTGCTGGCTTTTCAAATTTCAAAAGAAACTAAAAAGCTAGGTTTTTAGGTGAAAATGTTTCCCCTTTTGAATGTTGACAACCAGTTCAATTTTTAAAAATACCCAGCAGGCCGACGGCGCATAGGGTAAATGAAACATGCAGCTGGGCGGAGTGGAAGGCCAGCTACAGGATCCCCAAGGCTGACCCTAGGACAAGGTACCGGCTGCCGGAGTTTTGGTGAAAGCCCAGCCCTGGGGTATGACCTGCACTGAGGTCTCCAGGCCACCACGAGACGGTCCCCAGAGAGAGAAGGTGTCAGCTACAAAGTAGCTTCGATCACAGGACTGGGGGTCAGAAATGTTTGAGCAGATTTTACAAAAGATATTCAAGACTCGTCTTTTAGACTGTTTCTGCCAATAGAGCCAATTTGTGCAAGAATCACTATTATAACAAGCTAATCAGTGATTTTGTTGAATGGAGACAAAAAACAGTAAGTGGCTTGGAAAATATAGAAACATTTGTGAATTATCTATGTCTTCCCTTATTTCCCATCCAGACATGAACAATCAGAATTAAATTCAGTCACCTTTGGTATTTTGCTGATTTCCAGTCACACGAAACTGCAGCTGTGTACGGGATTTTCAATCCTATTATTTTGAAGGTATCATTTTTCCATTTTATTCAGCAGTTTGTTTTGGCGTGCCTGAGAGCTGGTCAGGCTCCAGATACGTATGGAAGCTGGGAACCGCTTGCACTTTGCCCTTGGTAGGCCTTGCTAGGAGGTAACCAGGGTCTCCTGCCTGTCCCCTCTGGGCGGGATACAGTAATAGACGTGTGACATCAGGAAGAAGGTGTGGGCAGAGCCGCGACTCCTCAGGCCAGACGGAGCCCGAGGCCTAGAGCCAGGAGGGGTTCCAGGGTGGAGAAGGACCCTCCCAGCTGAACGGTCACCCATCCTTCATTCCACAAGCATCTGTAGCCTCAGCCTGCCAAGCGCTGGGCGTACACTCATATGGTCAGAGGCAGGAACCCACCCTGCAGGACACCCTGCAGGAAACATGGGATCTTTGACCCCAGAAGTCCCAGGGAGGCAAGACCCTGGCATCAGCACCCCTGCTCAGGTGGCTGCGGGGAAGGGCCAGAGCTCCTTGGGCAGAGATCCTGGGCACACGATGAGGCGTGTTGTGGGTGGGGCTGCTTTCCTGGTTTAGGAGGAAGGAAATCATCAGGGCAACCAGGACGGGGTGTTGGGAGGGATGACCAGAGTCTGGGGCAACCCACCCTGACCCCAACTCCCCATCTCCCACCACTGGAGGCAGTGCAGCCTTCCAGGGAGAGAGGGACGGAGAAGGAAACTCAGCATCTGACCAACAGCTCTGCCCAAACACCTGTGTCAGGAGGACGGGGTTAGACTACACTCAGGTATCAGCAGTCCCCAAGGAGAGGGGGGCACTGGAGACCCACCATGAGGGCGTCTCTCTACACCTTCTTAAGGACCCACGTGGGCCTGGGCCAGGGTGGCTCCATGGTTAGGAGCTGGACTCCCAATCCCCCAATCCATACTTGGCCTTTGTGGCAAATTAGGAACTTCCATCCCTCAGCCCACTATAAACTGGAGGTTCTCTCACCTGGGAGTCGGGGGACGCTGGCACCCCCCACCACGTGGGGAGCACCGAGCACAGTCCACAGGCCAGGGAAGAGCCTTGGAAGTGCTTTCTGCTATCACCACCCGGACCGAGTGGAATGATGGCCCCTGGAAAGGTATGTCCGCATCCCAACAACCAGACCCGGCCACCATCACCTCTGTGGAAATGGGGTCTTCGTAGATGTCACCAGGTGAGATGTCACCCTGAGCCCAACGACAAGTCCTTCTAAGAGTCAGGAGGAGACACAGACCCAGAGGAAGGCCGTGTGGAGATGGAGGCAGAGAAGGGAGGTCGGCCGTGTGGGAGGCTGACAGCCAGCAGAAGCCGGGGGACAAGCAGGAATTGTCCCCTAGTGCTTTCGGAGGGAGCGTGGCCCCCGCTGACACCTGTGCCTGAGACTTCTGGACTATAGAATTGTGAGTCAAGACAGTTCTTTTGGTTTAAGCCTGCCAGCTTGTGGTCCTCTGCTCCGGCAGCCCTAGGAGAGCAGTACACGAGCGGTGCTGGAAGTCAGAGTTGGCAATGCACTTGGCGTGGCAAATGGGTGCTGGGTGATGCCCACACGGGGCTCCAGACGCAGCAGGGGTGACTCGCATCCCCACCTCTGGAGTCAACAATGCTGTGTCCCTTGAGCTCCCCAGATGGGTGAGATCTGTTCTGGGCCCCATTCTTTGGGGCTGGTGGAGAGTCCCCTTCAGCCACCTGGGCCTCTTCCCCAGGCCCTGCCGGGCTCTCAGTGGTGCTCTCCCCTCAGAGGCCCTGCTAGGTTGCTCCTCGTCCAGGCCTCCAGGGGCCCGGGAGATCCCAGGTCATAGCTCCCACCTCTGGATCATTTCCACCCAACCCTGAGCAGCACCTTCCAAGGCTTTGACAGCCCCTGGCCTCTGCAAGGGAGTGAAGTGCTGGTGTCCTGTTCAATGCACCCACTTCTCCTTTTCAGGTTTAAGGAAGCTGATCTGGCCAAGCCCTGTGCCCTACCTTCACCCCAGCGATGATGTGACCCAAGGCCTCAGCGTGAGCTCAGACGTCCACCATACCAAGGCCAGGAGGGGCTCTCTGGCTGCCTAGCCACATGGCTCTTGGTCCTGGGCTACAAAATTCCTGCAACAAGGAAGCTCGCTGAAGCTGATCGGCCTTCTGGGACAAGCACGCGTGCCAGTAGCACGGGCCGTGTTGGGGTAGGTCATCCTGCCGCCCACAGGGCAGCTTAACACAAACCCTGCTCCCGAGGAGCTCACCGGGGTTGCTGTGCACACCGGGGCAGAATGTGAGTAACCTCAGCTATGACGGAGGATGAATTGAGGACAGATTTAGCCTGACGAGGACGATGGGGAGGCAGGGTGGCCCTGTCTGAAGGCGCTAGGTGGCATCCTGGTGCCAGCCAGTAGCTGTTGTATGGTGAGCAAGTACAACTGTAAATGGAGACCAGAGTGACACTGGTCTCATACCTTCATTCAGTCCTCATCACCACCCTGACAGTGGGGAACATTTGGGGACACAGAGGAGGCTTCAGTAACTTCCAGCTCCAAGCTCTCAAAGGGAAGCAATGTCTGCTCCAAAGCCCTCAGTGCCCTCCACACCTGTCCTGAGCCCAGATCCCCCTTCTCAGGCATTTTAGTCTTAGTGTCCACCTGTCATGCCTACAGCAGAAGGGACCATGTCTGAGCCACTTGTCTCCAAGGCTGGGGGGCAATGGGGACCCTGACCGGCTGGCATCCCAGCAGACCCGGCTGTTCCCCCAGGAGGAGCAGAGGAGAGAGAGAGAGATTGAGGTCAAGGGGAGAAGCATTAACGCAGAGCGCCCTCTGTCTGACACGTCTACACATGTGCCCACGTAGAGGGCAGGCTGGGGGCGAGCGGGAAGGCCGAACCCCAGAGGTGGAGGCAGAGAAAGGCAGAGAGAGACAGGAGACAAAATTTCACAGACTCCCAAAGCAGAGCAGAAGAAATTGTTTCCAGAGGCACTTCGGAGCTGGCCCCCCTGGCCCCTACACGCCCCGTCACTTAGCAGGTCTAGAGGTCCCCTTGCAGCTGCCAGGATTGGAAGGAGGGGGGTGGCAGGGGCGGTCGGGGGCCTGCTGGAGAAAATCTCCCAAAACCAGGCTTGGCATCCAGGCCTCTGATTGCCCTGAGCCTGGGGGAGGGGTGGCAGAGAAAAGTGGTCCAATATGGTTGGTGCACATGCGTACCCCAGATGCCCATCTGCTTGTTAGGGGAGGCCGAGTGGGTAACCCGAGAGCCCCAAAGGCGTGGCCCTTAAAACCAGGCCCTCCCTAAGTGGAGGGTGTGGGGGGGGCTCCGTCTGCTGGATCTGGGGTTGGCAACACTAAAACACAAAAAACTCACGTGCAGCTCTAGAGGAAAAGCAGTGCGAGGTAAGGAGATCCAGCTGAATTCTTCCCTTTTTTTTTTTTTATTATAGTGAGAATACTTAACATGAGATCTACCTTTTTAGCCAATTAAGTGTACATGCAGTACCATTAGCTATAGGCACAAGATCGTACAGCGGGGCTCTGGGACTTTTTCATCTTACCTAACTACGACTTCTATCCATTAAATAGCAGCTCCCCACGCCCCCTCCCCTCAGCCCCTGGCAACTACCATTCCACTCAGTGCTTCTAGGAGTTTGGCTATCTTCAATACCTCGTGTGAGTGGAATTAGAATTCGCCCTCCTGTGCCTGGTTTATTTCACTCGGCGTAATGCCCTCCACGTTCATCCATGTGGTCACATATTATAGATTTTCCCTCTTTTTTAAGGCTGAATAATACTCCATTGTATGTATGTGGTTTAAAAAAAAAAAAGGAAGCCTACAGAAGGAGAGAAAATATTTGCAAGACATTCATCTATCTGATAAGGGGTTAATATCCAAATATGTAAGGTGCTCCTACAACTCAACAGCAAAACAAAAAATGCAAATAATCCATATTAAAGACCGGATAAAGGACTTGAATAGACATTCAAGTCCTACAAATGGCCAATAGGCACATGAGGAGATCCTCAGTGTCGCTAATCATCAGAGAAATGTAAATCAAAACCACAGTAAGATAGTCACCCCACACTTGTAAGGTGGCCATTATCAAAAGGCAAAAAAATTGAAAATAGAGCTACTCTATGATTCAGCAATCCTCTTTCTGGGTATATATCCAAAAGAACTGAAGTCAGGATCTTGAAGAGATGTCTGCACTCTCATGTGCACTGTGGGATTATTCACAACAGCCAAGACATGAAAACCATCTAACTGTCCCCTGGTGCATGAGCAAATAACAAAATTTTCTCATTCTTTTCCTCTTTTATTGTTCAGCACCTAATATTAGAGCATTTATCCCCAAGCTTTTCAAGTACAAAGCTTCCCCCATGGAGATCAGGCCAGGGGATGATGGGGCAGAGGGGGTCAGCAGGTGGCATGCACTGACCCCTAACCCTTCCCAAGCTGTGGGTTCTGCTCCCTGTTCTTGAAGCAAGGTTTCAATTGACACTGCTAAAAATATTTAAAGTGTAAACAATTCTTAATGACCATGTTATATAACTTATTATTTCCCCCAGGGAGGGAAAAGTCGTTGGCAATGTCCCAAGTCTTCACAGCCAGAGTAGGGAAGAGGCTGATCTGGGGAGCTTGGGCCTCTGGGTCAGGCAGGCCTGGCTACTCTCCTAAATTCTGACCTTTTTAGCTGTATAACCTTGGACACGTTGCAGAACTGGCTTCCCACATCATGGGGATAACGCAATGCCTTTACCCTGGGATTGCTGACAGGGTAAAACGAGTTCCAACCCCAAAACACTAAGGAGCCTGTGGGCCTGGGATACTCGGGAGCTCCCATTCTCTGGGCTGGGGACCCCGGAGACACTACTACTAGTTCTCAGCTTGAGCATGGACACCTCACCGTCTCTCACTCCCCACACCTCATCTGCTCAGCAACAACACTGGTCTAACATGGTGGTTCTCCTCCTTGCTGCACAAGAAAATCACCTGGGAAGTTTTGAAAGGTGTGGAACTCCCCACCAACCCAGGCCTTGCTCCCACAGTTTCTGGCATCACTGGTCTGAAACAGGGCTGGGTATCAGTGCTTTCCGAAAGCTCCCTTAGTGATTCTCACGGGCAAGCCGAGTCGAGAACCACTGCTCTAGCTGATTTGTGCTTACATTTCATGGCTGGACTCAGCTTTATTCCAAAAATATTTGATAAAGCACCTAGTGGGCTTCAAGCACTGTGTTTAGGTGTCTGATCCAGGGATGTTCTCCTTCATCTCACTGTCTGAGAGATGCCCGATGTGCCTGAAGCTGGGAGTTGTGAAGTAAGGTGCATTTCTGTCTCTGATATTAACCTGCTTCCATCTTGCCAACTTTTCAAATAAACTGACTTTGTGAATAACCACCCTATCGCTCAAGTTCATAGTCCTAAGATCTATAGAGGTTAAACACAAGGGGAAAAATTATCTGTGAACAACTCTAACTCACGCTTACGTTAACATGGGTCATGTCTATCCCACCTGATGTTTGCTTCCAATTTAATAATTGTAAAGGAGGCTGGAGGAACCAATAATTTTCAGGCATATAAATATGGAGGGAAAAAAAAGGAGGAGGAGATGGAGAGAGAAGAAGGAAAGGCCCCTGTTCAGACGACAGCAACATGATGACAAAATAGTAGGGAACAAGCCAAGAAGCATGTTAATGCTAGATGGGAGAAAATCTTCAATGCTGCTATGAACATAAAGAAGAGTCAAACAAAAGGAAAGACACATCACACAGCCTTGGGCAGGAAGGCCTGCATCATAAAAATGTCAGTTCTTCCCAAGTTAATATATAAATTTAATGGGAACTCAATAAAAACACCAACAGGATCTGGTCACTAAACAAGACGATTCTAAAATTCATATGAAAAAATAAACCAGCAAGAATAGTCAAATTCTCAAAAAATAGAGAGTACTGGGGGAGGACTAGCCCTACCAGAAAGCAAAATATCTTTTAAAACTCCAAAGTATAAATTATAAAATAATAATTTAATAATTATAAAACATATAATGAAAACCATATGGTGCATTTATAGGCAGACTCATCATTGGAACAAAATAGAAAATCTATAATAATCCAACATACATAATAGAATTTAAATCATGATAAAGAAGGCTTTTCAGATCGGTAAAGAAAAGGTGGATTATTCATTGAATAGAGCTGAGTGTTAAGTTGTCATTTGGAAATGAAAAGATCCATAACTCTTACAGTAATCATTGAATCTATTCACAAATATTCCAGTTCTTCTCTTCTTCTGGCCATGTGATTTGCTCTGATTGATGGAATGTGAGCATAAATGTGTTTCTTTCAAGAGGAAGTCTCTAAGAGCCAAATTATGGTTCACCACATCTCTCTCTATTCTTGCCACAGTGACCAATGACGCTCTCTGTCTGCCTGGGTCCTAGAGCCCAGAGCTAACACAGAATGGATGCATAACATGAATGAGGAATGAGCATTGCAGCATCCATTAATCTTATTCTGGAGGCGCCTGGGTGGCTCAGTGGTTGAGCATCTGCCTTTGGCTCAGGTCATGATCCCAGGGTCCTGGATCAAGTCCCTCACCGAGCTCCCCACAGGGAGCCTGCTTCTCCCTCTGCCTATGTCTCTGCCTCTCTCTGTGTGTCTCTCTTGAAGAAAAAAAAAATCTTATTATGTTGCATTCATAACATACAGTGGGATAAATTTCATAGATATTTAAAATTTAAAGGTAAAAAATGAAACCCTTAAAGAGGTAGAAAAACATCATGAGAGAATTTAATACCTTAGAGATAAGAATGCCTTTCTAACTAAGATATAAGAGCCCAAAACCATTTTTTAGAAGATTATTAAGTTTAAATGCATACAAAGAAAAAACTGCTACATTACAAAAGCTGCCATAAGCAGAGTTAAAATACCAAGGGAAAACCTGGAGGAAAGACTTATAACTCATATCATGGAAATTTATACATTTGTAAATTATAAATATGTATGTGAAATTTATATAAATATATAAATTAACATTATAATGATTAAAACTATATATATATAAATTTCACATATATATAAAGAGTTCTTATA